CTATTGAAAAACAAGAATACTGATTTGAAGGATTGGTTTGGAAAGGTTCATATGCCCCCTTTTTATATTCTTTCACTTTGTCTAATCCATTGTCTATTTCCTTTTTGCCAGAAGGAAATACTTGCCTGGCAAAGTCCTAAGACAGGTCCCACAGATTATCTTGTTTTGTATTTAAGATCTGAAAATTACCCTTTTATTGAGACAAACAACAGGCCATAAAGACATCCCTAGTGTACAACAACAACATATACATCCACATAACCACCATCTAACATTGACAGTCATTGTTTTTTTTAAAACTTTATTCACTTGATTTATTGTCATCTCAAACTCTTCATTAGCAACCTGAAAATTTTAACCATAAAAAATTTCAGTGGCACTTATAAAACAAGCACAAATTTACATAGGCATATGGGCCGGAGGGGGGAAAGCCTCCCCCCCCCCCAAATTTTTATGGTCTGGCAAAAATCCATGCGAAATTCGGGCAAAACATATAGATTTCGGAAAAATTATGACATGTCCTGAAAAAAAGTTTGTATGTTTGTGAAAATTACGTGATATTAGAGAAAATTATTTGTCAATAATGATATGTACGGAAAAATTTTCGTATGTTTGCAAAAATTAGGCGATATTAGGAAAAAAATTTTTGGTATGTCCGGGAAAATTTTTTGGTGACCTCCCCTCTCCCCCCAATAATTTCAGGGAGAAATATTAATTAGCGACGGTTGGGAAAACTAATACTGTGCCCCCCCAAACAAGATTAGGCCTGTATGCCCATGCAAATTTACAGATATTTGTTATTAGCAAGAATGTAATTAATACATGCCATGCCATTATAATGAGCCCATGTGCCCAATTTCATCATTTCACTCTGCCAACACCAGATATTTTACTCATCAAAGGGAAAATGTAGAGTGGTAATTTATTAAGCAAACCATCTATTGTGATGCCTCTGTTAACATCATTAAGCTCGTTACATCCTATTAATTAGCCAAAATGTTGATTGGTAATTTATTAAGCAAACCATCTATCGTGATGCCTTCTGTTAACTTAACTCATTAAGCTTCGATACATCCTATTAATTAGCCCTTGGCTAATACTTTGTTACATGTCCCACCACCCTCTTACTCCATCTAATACCAGATGATTTTACTTGTCAACAGGACATCATTGAATGTTTTATTTATTGCCCTCAATGACATGTTTGCTCTCATGGTGTAGAATATTTTGTGATCACTCAAACATTTATTGAGTGCCACTAATACAGTATTGAAATCAAAATGTAGAAAGTTACAAATTATAAGTGCTGTTTATATGATCCCACCTTGGCAGGAAAGGATTTACTCAGAAAGCAAAGTTCATCCTGCCTAGCGGGTCAAGGCGGGATCATATAAACAGGCCCTGATAACTATTGGTATATTTATTAATGACTTATACGGACTGACCTTGGCATGAAGCCCAGATGGGAATTCTGTATTGTATTTACAGTTTAACCCAAAACTAAAGAAAAAACAAGGTAAATCAAAATAATTTTCGTGTGTCTCTAATGACAAAGGAAAGTCTATTTATATAGTAACCATAATAACCATTGTCTCGTATTTATAATTTCCCACTCATGACTCATTCATCTATGTAACAAAATCTATAACCCTCTAATCAGGGCGTAATAATAATAACTTACATTGTCATATGTCCTACGCCTCGGATAACTATAGCTTCGGGTACAGTTTGAGAATATTCGAGCGATATTTGAGTATTTTCTGTGTCATCCTCTGAACTATTGTCATGAAATATTGTGTCAAAATTCGCCATCTTTCATGATGCTTCGAAGTTCGAACATGAGCTCAGCATTTCCGGAAAATTCCCGGTGTATGTTTCCACTTCGGTACGATCAATTTCCTTTTTTTTTTAAACGCGGTTCGCGCACGCGAGAATTGCACGCGAGTGAACGAAGCCTATTGTGTTATTTTAACCCAGAGATTTTAACTACAGTAATATATTTTTTAAGCTGTGGCACTGGTGCTATTTTTTAAAATAATATGAACTTCGAAATTTTATTAGGAGATATAAGTGTCTGTGTATAGTGTTGGGTTAGCAATAAAAGTATTCACGAGCTTTAGGGACCATTCATTATTTATGACCGGGGGTGAGCTGGCAAAATTCAATTAACAACTGAACAAAATGTCCTGCCCCACCCCCTGCATCACAAAAAAATTCAATGGCCCCCTTCACATGAATTCTAAAAAATAGGTAAAAAATAAGTAGAGTGCACTGGGGCGCAATGAGTTAACTAGAGACATTGTCAGATTTTTTGGTTAACCCATTAAGCTGCAGAGCGCCGAAGAGGCTGAAGCTGGGGGTCATACCATTTTTCGCTACTAAGAGTGTAGTAAAAAGTTGCTCAAAAAGGAAAAAGGGTAATTTATAAAGGGTAATACAGTGCTGTAGGAAGCTCTTTTTCATTGGGGGAGCTGAAAGCGAGGGCCAAAGGCCCGAGAAAATTTTGAATTTAGAGTCTCTGAAATGCCATTTCCTGGACTTCAGGGAAGATTTGACAGAATTGTGATGGTTTTCATATTGGCTGTACGCATTGCATTTTGAGTCTTTCTGTTGATTAATATTGAGAATTTTGCTAGCTATATATACATGCATGAATTAAATTTGCTGCCTTGCTCGCTCCCTGTGGTAGCAATAATCGTTACATGTCAAATTTGTCTCCACTATAATAAATAACTGGACCCCCCCTTTTGAACCAATATTTTTAGGTGCCCCCCCCCCCTTTTTCGGTCAAAAATACCTCATGACCCACCCCCTTTTTTTGCCAGCCCACCCCCAGTCATAAATAATGAATGGTCCCTTAGAGCATGGTTGAAGCTAGGATCGTCATCTAACTACCTGAAAAATAAAAAGGCAATTAACTTCCACTGATTTCACTTTCGAGTGAACGTTAGCCGGCAGTTTCCGGTAGTCAGTGAGACTTATCTATCAAGCTGATGAACTGATGATATTTATTTTGAGCGAAACACGGCTGCACTGATAAATTGGTCTTTATCAGTGAGATATCACACGCATATGAGCCTTGATTGAAGCTTTCGACTTACCTCTTCAAATACTCATGAATTCGATAAAGAGCTTTAAGACTGAGATCATTATTAAAGACTTGAGGCTCACATATAGAAAACAAAAATGATACAATCTGTACAGTACAGATGGGACTAACATTAAAAAATTTTGTAAAAACATTAAAATTAATAGTATTCCTTTATCTATTTTATTAATTTCAGTTTAATAATGTTGTATATTAAAGTTAAATGTATTATTCTTTGCCTTAAATACTATGTCCAAAACATTTATTTCAACTGACGGTTTCGTCTGCTGTTTCAATATCTATTGAAGTTATTGAACAAAAGAAAACGCTACTGTTCGTACATTATACAGGGTGTCCCAAAAAAAACTAAAAACTATAGAAATAACGTATTGTTAGAATTTGAATGCCCTAGCACTAACCAGACTGAACGCAAAGATGCGTAAAATATTGACCGGCGGGGTGCATATACAGGGTGTCTCAAAAAACCGCTACCCTTAGAAATTCACCATTGTTCTAATTTGAATGCCTGAACCTTGTTGAAGCCATGAATGCGTAAACATTTTCACAGGATGCATATATTAAAGATCTTCGGAATTAAAATATCCTTGCAAAGCGAAATTGTTTATCCTGGGAATTGAAAGTAGGTTCATACAAAAGTATAACTGCACGAAAATCGTTCAATTACATATTAGTGAATGTCAAGCAAATGGCTCAACTGAGCACAGAGCAACGAGTATTTATTGTCTTAAATTATACGCGAACCCAAAGTCTACACAGGCATTCAAATTAGAACAATGGTGAATTTCCAAGGGTAGCGGTTTTTTTGAGACACCCTGTATTATAAATATTGACTTATTAAGAAATTAAAATATATTTGTAAATCGCATGGCCACGATTTTCTGCTCTTGGGAATTCAAAGCAGTTTCTTATAAACAGTCAATTCATTCAAAGAGACATTCAATGTCAATTCATTCAAAGAGACATTCAAATTCTAACAATACGTTATTTCAATTGTTTTGGGTTTTTTGGGACACCCTCACCCTGTATAGGTTCAAATGCCGGGAAGCCTGTTTTCCACTTCATTCTTCAATCGTATCGAAACCTGGCGCACTGCGGATTATATGTTACTGGCAGTCTGGCACTGTCATTAGTTCTGATGTAGTGCTTCCAAACCAAGGAGATACATTATGTATCGTTACTCGTTATATAGGATACGTTTGGAGTGGAAAATTGTCTTTCGGGATATAACATTATATTTTATGAGAAATGTCAGTGACAGCTTCATGCCAAACGATACGCAGATTCAAGTTTAGAAGAGTCGTAGGTGTTTGGAAGCCTTACTTTGTGCGTAAGTACAAAAAATAGTGGAACTAAGGATGTCGTCATGATTGGAATAAAGGCAGAAACTACACCAGGAATACTTGGACTTTCAGGCGATGGGAAAAAACTATCGAAGACATAAGAACACCAGGACAAGAGAAATATCCCGATTGCTGCTTGAAGATGACAATGGATTTGACCTTCTTCTTCGCTCATTTGATCTTCAGTTTCCGACGTCGATTCATCTTTGTTCCCTGAATTACTTTTCAACTCCACCGTTTGCTTCTTTTCTCCACTAATACTGTTCAACATGGAGAATGTAAGGGTAGCGATGGGAATGAGGAAGAGAAAAGATACGACAATAGATATAGGGAAACCAGTTGACGAGAACTCCACTTGACAGAATGCTTTACGACTAAGAAATGCATATTTACTCCACAGCAGAGTGAGTGAGTAGGATAACGTAGTTTGTGCAACGACGTAACCAAGTAAGGCAACTTTATATGGAGCTGGAGAATAACTGCTTTGACCAGGCATTGGATACTGTCCGGATTGATCTAATTGGACACGGTTGTTTTCTCTTGTGACAATGTAACGATCTGTTGCAATTGAAACAAGCGTGGACACAGATACGATGATGTAAACGACATTTGTGAGGCCATATGAACGACACCACTCTATTTCGAAGTACCATTTCGAAGATAATGCAACAGACAGCAAGAACGGGAGATCTTTGATCGAGACCAGAATATCCACTAGAGCGACATTCGCGACAATAAGAGCAGTACACGATGATCGGAGACTTCTCTTGCTATAAATTTTATAACACACCCATATGTTAACAAGCATCGTGAGGAGACAAAGGAAGGCAATGCAAGACGCTGTCATAGATTGAGAGATTATTTCAATTTTTGTCGTATCAACATTGACATTGTTCTTCGATTCGCTGACAGTCGTAGGCGTATGGAAAAAATGCCAGTACATCTTGATGTTGCAACACGACTAATCCACTGTTCCAATTATCACCAAGAGTTCGGTCAAATGAACAATAAGTTCAGTCGACAATGTATAACAAGCTGGCAATAGACCGTTTCCTCTGCACTATTAACGGAAACTCTTACCGTATATGCGATAGTCACTGCCGCAATCTTCTCCCTGTCACGTCGATTAATGTAGATAAAGATGTCTAGTTGAAAGAACAGCTTTATATATTGTTTTATCTGTGGAACAATGAATTACCTAACGGAGACAATTCATTTTAACAATGTTGCATACAAATAATCAGCTGGTACTTTTCTATTCAACCGTGACAAGTGTAGTTGTACTAATCCTTAATTATTTATACAACATGTTTCTTTCGACCTATTATTAAGTTCGTTAATATAGCATGTTTATATTTTTACTCGCATGAAAAGTACTATCTTAATTAATTGCTTATTTCACAGACTATTATTTTCATATTCAATTTTCCATTTAATACAATGATATTTAATAGGGGAAATATGTTGAAAGTTTAATATCATAATGCCATTGGAACTGTCACTTGAATATTTGATACAAACCTGCAGCAGTAGCAAAGTGAAGACTATACCGCGGTAGGAATACTGCATTTTACAGCGATATTTTAGACTTGTATAACCTTATCCCGAATCCTAAATCCTAATATCCCTGAAAGATGAAGCAGTTATACTGATGCCTCTGTACGACTATATATCACATGATGGTTATATTGGACAGCAAGAGGCTCTCCTATTGGTTGATGATATCTTTCCGAAGTATATTGATTATTGTCGTACGTAGTACATGAAGCAGCCAGTCATATCAAATATTGTTGTTTATATAGGCTAGATCATTCTGGACAGACATATTCTGTACTTAAGACTTCTTTGTAAGTGGATTAAGCGAACTGAACAACATAACAAAGAAATGCATTTGAAGAGCTATACAGGTATTATTATCTCCGTGACTCTGATGCCAGCTTTGGTGGTATTTATCGTTGGTTGCATTATTTGGTTTTATTATCGAAAATGCGAAGGTTTTATGCTGCAGGTATTCATGGAAAACATAATCAGTAAAAAGAATATCAACAAAAGGCCGACATACCTCGTCTGCAACAGGAAACTTTCATCGTTAAACAGACATTATTTTACAGTTACTTCAATTTTAGTTATCTCAATATGTGTGCAGTGTTTTTTTCTTCTCGCTATCGTCGACGTCAGTTACGAATGTCTTCACGACCCAGGCTTGGATTGCTTCAAAAAGAAAGATGATGTGAAAATATCTGATACCCTTGCTTACGATGAATCGCCAGTCAACTGTTCAACAATCTCGGGTGATGATACCATCATTTGCTACCGTCTTACTGCTTTTGACCCCAAGAGAATCTTCATTGCCGCAGCGGCTGCATACTTATTGTCCAAAATGCTCAATTTTTGCCTTCTTACTATTGCACATATCATGCTATGGGCAGCTACGAAGTGGAAGGCGACGACCTTATTATGTATTGAGATAATTTTTAGTTTAATTTTTATCATCGTAATGATTATTCCTCTAGTTCTGAGAACCTGTCTGGACGAGATCGAATCAGCATTTCCAAAGTTGTCGTACACAGTGTTTGTACAAGTTGTACTTGTTGTGTTAGTCATCCTGTATTTTGTAATACGGCTTCCTTGGGAGGAGTTTGGAGAAAGTGAAGAGTATTACGAAGATGCGTCTTTACCAAGCGAACATGTTCGTGAAGATGAGGACGAAATGGTTTAATTAACCTGGTTTTCTACGTCTGTTTCATCCCTCCTCCCCCCC